GTTGGAATGGTCTGGAGCCTAGAATTGTAAACAAAATCTTTCTCTATCACAGCCAGTATGTGGGGAAAGGAACATGTCTTTTAACAGAAATAGCAGTAAGTAATGCACAATTCTTATTGTAGTATGCTATAATAAGCATGGCATGTCCATGCTGTGCCACAGTTCCTATGTTAGTTGGCTGTGACATCTCAGGTGCTCTGTGAACCATGGGGTCTGGGCGTAAAACGATGAAGTCATGGCCAGGAACTTGCCAAATTCCATTGTATGAAAACTTTAATTAAGAACTGAACAAGCACCCTCTTCTTGTGAGTTAAGAGTTTGATCTTGGATTGGAACCGAAGCATTTTCTGAGTAAAGGAAGAAAAGAGTTTGAGGATTTTGTTAACTCAAATACTAGTATTTGTGTATACTTTGACACTTAAAAAGCACACTTCCCCATCTGTTAGGCATTTACTTATGCCCATTGTAGAGATGAGGGAGCTCAAATAATTTTAATCAACTGCAAAAATTCATACAGCCAGGGAACAGAAGAGCAGTATCTCCCCTGCCCTCTTCTTTCTCTAAATTTTGTAATCTTTCCATAATCAAATCCTTGAATATTATGTTAATGGCATTTGGGGTATATCTACTTTCCACCTGAAGTTTATGCCAGGGTAAGATGCTTGTTTTTCCTGCAAAGTAAAACCACAGTGGGGTCTGAGGACTTTGTAGCTCTGCCTTTGTACATCCTGTCACCTTGATACAGAGAGCCCTTGTGTTCTCCTAGCAAACTCCTATACATCCTTCAATATCTAGCTCAGAAGTCACCTCTTGGTTACTTTCCCCCTACCCAATTTGGGTCTGACAGAGTTGGTAACTCTTTCCTGTTTTCCTACTGTGTTTAAAAGCACTTACCACACTGCATGTCCACTATTTATTAATGTGCCTCTTAAAACCATTAGACTGGGTCCAGAAGGATCATAATCCCATCCTTTTCACTGCTGCAGCCCTGGAACCTAGCACAGTTCCTAATACTTAGGAGACCTTCATTCTTTAGCTAAATGCAAGGAGACATTTGGCTCTGGGGTTTTGTAAGAGCAAAGAAGAAATTCCATGTCTGCAGGTCCTGCCTGGTCTGCACTCCTGCTGCCACCACCTCACCCACACCAAAACCAAGTAGGGGAGGCAGCCAGGCCTGAAGACTAGATCTCCCACTTTCAGAGAGGAAAACAGAGCCTCATGCCCCAGGGGAAGTAGCATGCTTGGAGTTAGGTCACTTTTAGTTAAGGGCAGTGCTTTTCAGTCAGCCCAGTGTGACTTTATCTCCAGAGGCAACACTGCATAGTAGTTAGGAGCTCGTCCTCTGGAGTCAGACCTTCTGGGTTTGAGTTCCATCTTCACCATTTGATAACTATGAGTTATTTTGGACAACATTATTAAACTCTGTGTTCCAGTTTCCTCCTGTCTAAAATGGGTTTTTATAAGGAATAAATGAAAAAATGCATATAAAGTACTTTGTACTCTATCTGGCAACTGACATGGGGCTCAGTAGGCCTTTGTTGTTGTTGTTGTTTTGTTGTTGTTGCTGCTGCTGCTGCTGCTGCTGTTGCTGTTGTTCTGCTATTAAGCCATACACACTTTAGTTGAATGATAGAAATGTTAAGTGACTATCTGGTAGTTGGGAATGTTTGTCAGTATTTTCTCAGTCCCAGCCACCACTTGGTGGGTATTTGCTCAGTGCAGCTTTTGATTACACACTTTACATACATCTACTCATTTGTGCCCCACAGTCACCCTATAAAGTAGGTATTGTCTCAATTTTACAAAAGAAGAAATGAGCTTGAGAGAGATCAAAACAACTTACCCAAGGCCAGAGAGCCGTGGATCATGGGACTCCAAACCACATGTATGGAGTCCCACATGGGACTCTGTTTCTCAGGATGGAGAAATTGCATATTGTAACCAATCAGTGTCCTTTGTTGTTGACATTCTTGTCAGCACTTTGGGGCCCTTCACTCTGAGATGATTGATTCATACCTCTTCGAAGATGAACATTTCTTTCAAGTTGCTTCATGTAAGCAGAAATTGAGGTAGCAAATATTAGACTACGAAGCAATTGCAGGGCCTCTGTGTGCCCAGGACTGTCACTTACAGCACCTCACACACTCAGATTAAACTGGTTATTAACTAAAAGTCTGACATCTTTTTCACTTGAGCTACCAACAAACGAGGTCTTCTTCATTCTGTCATTTCTAGAGAGAGGAAGTGCCTCCAAGAGAGGACAGGAACAGAAAAACACTAAAAGCTTTCCTTCTTGAGAGTTTTGCCTAAAACTATTCATATTAACTAACTGTACCAACAGAAACTGCTAGGTGGACTGGAAGGGAAGCTAGCATTTGCTGTGTGCCTGCCTCACACCAGCTGGGAGCCTGCTCTCATGGACTTGGGGTATGATGATCCCCATGTCAGCCACCAGTACATGGCAAGAAGGAGCATGGTAGCTCCGGGATCTGCCAGCCACGTTCTATAGGCCATAGAACATTTCTCAGCTGGAAGTACCACACTTACATATTTCAGCATTCAAATGATCTTCACAGATGCCATGGGGACATTTTTAAAGTTCTCTCTGGCAGGAAATTATATAAGGCATAGTAGGTTGTTTTTTAACTACCTAAATAGTAGTATAGGATAAGATGGTATATTTAACTGCCACTTCAAAATGATACAATAGATCAGCCCTAGGTTTTCACTCTTCATTAATATTAGATGACAGGAGACAATTCTGGCCCAGGCAAAGGAGACTAGCTAGTGTTCCCACTTATGTTATAAATATGTTTTCACTCTCCAAAACAGATTTTCATCTAAGATTCTCTTGTCCTTTTTTAGATAGCTTGATAGTTGAAAGTATTGGCTCTCAAATCAGATTACCTGTATTTGGATCCCAGCTCTGCCACTTGCCAGCTGTGTGTTGTTGGGCAAGTTACTGAACTTTCCTAGGGCTTTTCTGCATCTGTAAAATGACCATAGTAATGGTTTTTACCTATTGAGACAGTTCTGCTAACTAAATGAGGTAAGCCATGTAAAGCGTTTTGTGCAATGCTTAACTCATAGTTCTCAGTAATATTAGCTATTATCACTGCTCTGCATAAGAGAGAATTTCATTTAGAAAATGGGCTCCTGTTCTTCAGCTTCTCAGAGCTTTCTCTTTTAGGTCTTTGCATGGTATCAGGGGCTCAAGAGAGCATTTCGAATTTTCACTGTTGGCAGTCATGGGTGCCTCCATTCCTACTGTACTAGGTTAGTGGTCTCTGTATTGTGTATTCCAGGGGGTAGTAAGTAAAGGAACAGATAGTAATAAATACCTTGGGCTAGAAGGCCATATATGACCTCTGTTGCATATTCTTCTTCCCTTTTTTTTTTCCACCCTCGTTTTTTGTTGTTGTTGTTTTCTGTTTTTGTTTTTTGAGACAGTCTCATTCAGTCACCCAGGCTGAGGTGCAGTGGCGTGATCTTGGCTCACTGCAACTTCCACCTCCTGGATTCAGGCGATTCTTCTGCCTCAGCCTCCCAAGTAGCTGGGTCTACAGGCATGTGCCACCACACCCAGCTAATTTTTTTTTTTTTTTTTTTAAATTTTTAGTACAGAAGAGGTTTCACCATCTTGGCCAGGCTGGTCTCGAACTCCTGACCTCGTGATACCCCCGCCTCAGCCTCCCAAAGTGCTGAGATTACAGGCGTGAGCCACTGCGCCCAGTCACCCTTTTTTTTCCCACCCTTTAAAAATGTAAGAACCAGCTAGGTGCAGTGGCCCACGCCTATAATCCCAACACTTAGGGAGGCTGAGGCAAGTGGATCACAAAGTCAAGAGATGAAGACCATCTTGGCCAACATAGCGAAACCCCGTCTCTACTAAAAATGTAAAAATTAGCTGGGCGTGGTGGCACTGCTTCTAGTCCCAGCTACTCGGGAGGCTGAGGCAGGAGAATCACTTGAACCCGGGAGGCAGGGGTTACAGTGAGCTGAGATCGCGCCACTGCACTTGAGCCTTGGGACACAGCATGACTCTTTTTAAAAAAAAAAAAAAAAAGTAAGAACCATTCTTGGCTTGAGACCCTCACAGAAACAGCCTGAAGGGTACAGTTTGCTGACCCTTGTCTCTGACTCTGTACTCTAAAATAGCAAAGTTTTGAATCCTGAAGTTGTTCTGTACTGTCATTCAGGTCAAAAGATGCTGGTCAAAATATAGTCAGTTTTAATGTTGAAATTGGAGTCCAGTTGAAAAATAGCACAGTCACTTCTCCTACCCCTCAGATTCCCACCTGCATTATATATAACGGGTGTTAAAAGTTCCGTTCCTGAGACCAAGAGAAGGAATCCATTAAAGCCAGTTTGACATATACACCAACCTGGGCAAGCTCAGTGCTTGTGATATTACTCCAGATTCACTTAGAGCTCAAGTTGTGATTTTAATTTCAAATTGCCAGGGTTTTGCGCCATCAGGTTTCATGTCTGGAGCAGTAGTGTTTTATGAAAACAGTGTCTGTTGCTGTGAAGTAAGCTAACCATAATGAACACAAGCGTGACACTTATTCACAGCAAAAGAACAGAAATGCAGGCACAACCTTTGTGAAATGACAGTATTAAATTGCAAGTGACGATAGTAAAGCAAATATTTAAATTCACAACTAAAATAGTACTTGTAAAATGTAATTGCCAGGGAGAGCATGCCAGTTCATCATTGCTAAGGCTGATTCTCTACAGGCAGAAGCATTCCACATGGTTCCAGGAAAAGGAAAAAAAAAAAACTTATTTTAAATAAACTGCTTTTTGGCTCTTTTAAGATTGTGCAGAAGTAAGCTTTATTTATCAGCTCCTATCTTGGTCTGAGTTGTTCATTGGCAGGAGACGTCTCTTATGTGTAATGCTTACTCTTTCTGTATTGGGACTCTCTGAGCTAGTTTCTTCTAAGCTGCAGTTTTGCTGATGACATTTGCTGATGGAGTGGCTTTATTTATCCCTAGGAGAGTTCCAGTGATGGAGGTGATGGCATTTTTGGTGAAAAGAAGGATGACAGCCGGGCAGGTGAGACTATGTCCTTCTGAAGGCATACTTTTCTGAAGGCATAGAAAAGTAAAGTCCCGGTTTGTTAGTTATCCTAAGGGCATTGATGTGTTTGCTATTAACATGTGTTTTTTTTAAGGAGGCTCTTTTAAAAAGCCAAGTAAGTTGACCTTCATCAGCCTCTCCTGGAGTTACACATGGAGCTTTAACATGGCTCTGGCTTCCTCAACCTGGCATTAAAATTTGAAAGTGAAGTAAATGTTAATATCTTAAGTTAGAATAGGGTCTGAGAGGTAAAACGGGATTGTGATGACTCTGATTTTTTTAATATATATAAAGAAAGGTTGGGGGATTTGATTTGGTTTAGTTTGGTTTTTGAATTTTCTAAATTCAGACATGGCAAGAGTTTTGGTAATTGGAAGGCCCAGCTACAAAGCGGCAACAAAGGGTCTGCTCATTCCTGTGCTTTAGAGCAAGGTCCTCAAATCAGTACTGCCACCACAAAAGGATACTTCTGTGTTTGAGAGATAACAGAATTGGCATAAGCTGTATCTAAGGCAAAATTGCAGCCCTTCCAGCCATGCCTAGTTCCTGGGCCAATTATTAAAACAGTAACTACTTTGACTAAGTTATTGAGTCAGCTTTGTTTTTTGGTTTTTTTTTTTTTTTTTAAACAAAACCATAAGACAGTTACTCCTGTTTTAGTTCTGTTTGTAAATACTAATATCCTCACTGATGTTTGAAGCCCAGGATGGCTCCGACCCAGACAAATCGCCCTGGCCAGTTTCATCCGCCCTCACAGCTCGTCTCAGACGTCTGGTCACTGTTTACCAGCGCTGCAACCGCAAGGAACTGTGCCGGCCTGAAATTTTGGGACCAGGTAACCAAGGATACTGGGTTCAGGAAGAGATGTTCAGGAGAACCTCAGAAATGGACCTCATCAACAAGGAAGCCCAAAAGAGGTAAAAGCCAGTGGCCAAAGGGGCATGCTCAGCCACCCACTGGGTAAAGTTTTCAAAAGGTAAAGCTGGTAGCTGGAGGACGAGTGTATTTCTATTCTCGTGTGAAGTTAGGTTATCTCCAGAATTCATTACATTCAGCCTTCAATTGTGATGGTATCATGGTGATGAGAGTCTGATGAGGTCTAGGAACACCCTGTGTTTACAGTTTCCAGATTCTTATGATTTTCTAACTTGACACTCTTCCCCAAGTGAAATCCCAGTCTCTAGGGTTGTGGTTTAGAAACACCATGCTAGAATGTCTCAGACCATTTCAGACCCCCTAATTGTTTTAGCAACAAAGGAACAATGTGCATTGAAGCTGTCTTATTATAGCTAAATCCTTCAAGCCTTTGAGGGCAGTAAATACCATAATATGCAAGCCCAGAAGGAAGGAATAAATTACTAGCAGTTACTTGCCTATCTGAGAATTAAGCTCTAAAAGGCTTAAAGAAGGCCAGCATAGGCTATGAATGACGCCACCAGAAAGTATCAACGAAGCTGCAGTTCCTTGAGTCCTCTCTCTATATCCTTCTGGTGAAATATCCCATGAATTAAAAGAAGAGTGCATAACAAATTCAGTTACTTCTCTCTACTCCTGTCTTGTGAAATTTGATAGTTCAGGGAACGTATTTCTTCCTTCTTACCTATCTCTAAAGAGAAGAACCAGAGCCACTTCTTCCCTGCTTCTCACTCTGACCTCACTCTGCACCCTTTAGGCCTAGCTAGGCTCCCTCTGGAGAGGAGAGCACCCTGCCCAGGAGCCCCTCATAAAGACTTTGGTGGTATATAATTATCCACCTCCCTTAAGTCATATAGAATATAAAGACTAGAGAACCTTTGTGTTCCAGAGAAGATAATTGTTGTGGACACCCTACCTCCATAAAACCACAAAGAAAAGCTGTATGAGATGGGGAGGCAGCGGATGTGTTACTGAAGTAGTCACTTCCCTACAGGACACCAGTAAGATGAGGAGGTTGAATTTAATGGTCTAGAAGATCCCTCCAGGATTCTCTGGTTCTATATTGCCATACAGGTTAAAAAATAATAATAAGGCTAGATATTTAAGCATATATAGTATTTTTTAAATCTTCATCTTCTACAGGCAGAAGTTCACTAGGTAATTCCTAAAATTGATGAATCAAGAGATAGCAAGTGTATACCTGATTTAGAAATAGGGAGATAAACACCAGAAAAAAGAGCTGAAAGATTGGAAAATAGTTACCTCTTTGGAAGTAGAAAAATAGGCTGTTTTCATTATAAGCCTCTCAGCCCAGTTTAACTTAAATAAAAATGATAGAAGACACAAACCAGATCTGCCTCCTTTCTTGACTTTATGGGCTCTCATAGTAGGTTCTCAAGCAATTTTTAAAAAAGAAGAAGAAGAAGAAGAAACAGCTCACTCTTTCTGATTAAATCTCAAGGTGGACTAGGAGAGAACAAGCAGACTTCTATAGAACATTGTCTTCCTTTGGTGTTGTTTACGATCAAGAAAAGAAAACCTTTGACTGGACACAGTTCCGCATCATTTCCCGTTTGGACAAGAAGTCTGATGAGAGCCTGGAACAGTATTTTTATAGTTTTGTGGCCATGTGCCGGAACGTCTGTCGTCTACCCACATGGAAAGATGGCGGTGAGAAAACTATTAGTATATTGTCATATGAGACAAGGAAAGAACATTCTGATTTTCAAATTACAGAATTACTTTAGGTATATCTATGAAAACTAGAGTCTACCTGAGGAATTTAGATAAAGATAAGTGGGCTTTTAGAAATTCATAAACTTCTAATTGGGTCCACCTCATAAAATAAAATCTCTCTCCCAAAATGATATAACTTCAATGAAAGTTAAAATTCAGCTTAAAACATCACAGAAGTATTGAGAGACTATTAACCACTTTTTCCAAAGCATAGGGGTTTTTTTAACTCATGGTTTTTTTTTAAGTCATGTTCAGATTTATCCTATTCTGAACTTTGCACCTTCCTTAGATTAAATCTTAATAATTTTAAGTGTTTTCTCATGTGTGGACTTGTAACTATAGAAAGTAAGTGGCTGTCATTTAAATATCCCCTGATCCAATAGAGAGCCATTTTGAGAAATGTCCTCCTGCTCAGCACTTGCAACAGCTTCCTTCAGGCCTCCCTTTAGCCTCATGTAGATGAACTTGCTCTGGATCATGGGACTATATTTTAGGAAAGGTAAAGCTAACCTTGAGCCTACTCAGTCACACACAAGACATCCCAGCCTTTGCCCTCTGTGTGGCATGGCTGAAGTGTTTCCATCCAAACCAGGGAGCTGGATATATTGGAAAGTTGTGGACCTTGGAGTTACACTGACAAAACCTGGATTTAAATCCTGTTTCTGCCACCTGAATCAAGGTAGTTTATCTGAGCCAATTTCCTTATCCTTGAAACAGGACAGGCATGATGATGGTGTATGGTGGGATTTTAGTGAGAACTAAGTAACATATATAAAGTACCTGGTGTAGAGTACAGTGGTGTGATCAGAGCTCACTGTAACCTCAGACTCCTGGGCTCCCGGATCCTCTTGCCTCAGCCTCCCAAGCAGCTAGACTATAGGCATGTACTGACATGCCCAGATAATTTTTTTTTATTTTTTGTAGACGTGGGTGTCTCACTTTGTCGCCCAGTCTAGCCTTGAACTCTTGGCCTCAAGCAATCCTCCTAGCCTCTGCCTCTCAGAGTGCTGGGATTACAGGCGTGAACTACTACTATACTATGCCTGGCCCAGTACATGCTTATTTAAAGTAAACTAATATTATTTTCAGATCTGGAGTTTTTATGCTCTTCTTTCACACCCCTTGGGTCTGTCCTTGCTTTAGAAAAGCCTTCCATTTTTCAGTTTCCTATTTTAGCAGGGGCCTACACATTTAAAACTGCCATGCTGAGGAGCCAGGGAGCTAAACTCCCAAGACCAAAGATGCAGGGGCACAGTTGGGCAGCTAGTGTCTGAGGCCACCTTCAGTGATAGGCTTTATTTCCCTTTCTCTCCAGCTCCCCCAGATACCACCATCTACGTTGAACCCATCACTGAGGAACGTGCTGCAAGAACTCTGTACCGCATTGAACTGTTACGGAAAGTCCGAGAGCAAGTGCTCAAGTGCCCTCAGCTGCATGAACGCCTCCAGCTGTGCAGGCCCAGCCTCTACCTCCCAGTCTGGTGGGAGTGTGGGAAGCACGATCGAGACCTGCTCATCGGCACCGCCAAACATGGGCTGAACCGCACTGACTGTTATATTATGAATGACCCCCAACTGTCCTTCCTGGATGCCTATAGAAACTATGCTCAGCATAAAAGATCTGACACCCAGGCACCAGGAAATCTCTGTTGCCTTTACCAGACCAACTCCAAATTATATGAATCTCTTACATATACTCAGATGAGTAGGACTTCAGAGACCCTTGAAAATGAACCTGAGAATCTAGTGAAAGTAGAAAGCAGAGATGATCATCTCAGCCTGCCTGATGTGGCTTGTGAAAACTTTATTTCTAAAGTTCAGGATGTCATTTCCATCAACCATGATGAAAGTCTGCTGCCTGAGTCCTTAGAGAGCATGATGTATGGTAAGAAGGTGCTCAGCAAAGAACCAGGCTCTTTTCGGGAGAGCCCAAGTACCAATACAGAATCTGCAAAAGATGTTATTACCATCTCAACAAGCAAAGATGGGAACTGCCAGCCTGGTGGCCATGAGGCAGAAATAGCTTCCAGCCCTGCCTTTATTGGTAGCTTAGAAGCAGGAGGAGTAGCAGCTCAAGCAAACATTAAAAATGGAAAACATTTATTGATGTCTATTTCAAAGGAAGGGGAGCTCTGCTGCAGTGAGGCAGGACAGAGACCTGAAAGCATCGGCCGGCTGGAAGCCAACTGTTTAGCTTCTCCTTCCCTGAATCCAGGAAATGAAAGTGGGTTTGTAGATATGTGCAGTCTTAGTATCTGTGACTCCAAAAGAAACTTGTCATCAGATCAGCAATTAATTGATTTGTTGGAAAACAAAAGCCTAGAAAGTAAATTGATTTTGAGTCAGAACCACAGTGAGGAGGAGGAGGAAGAGGAGGAAAATGAGGAGGAAAACTTTGCCATGGCAGCAGGCGTGGGGGAAAGATCAGAGGTATTACATCTCATGGAGCCCACTACTGACATCTCAAGGGAAAAGGGCCAAGGCTTCCATGTAGATGAAACCAAGAAAGGAGGCTTAGAGGCAGCAAACCAGACTCCTGGACTACAGAGGGCTTTCCCCCCTCCAGCAGCCTGTCAGTGCCACTGCAAACACATGGAGAGGTGGATGCATGGCCTTGAGAATGATAAATTTGAAATCGAGAAACCCAAGGCTTATAACCCAGATCTGTTCAGAAGCAAAACCAATACTATCGCCATGGAGGGTGAACCCACTGCTATTCCATCAGAGCTGTTTAAAGTGAAACATGAGCTTTTAAAAGAACCTTGGAAAGAAAGTGCAGAGGGGCAAAAAGTTTTCCCCACATATCCTCTCGAAGCAAGCGAGCTCAAATCAGAAGACATAGATTTTGAGAATAAAGATGATTATGAAAGAGATGGAATCTGCCACAGTCAAGGTACAGTATGTAGGATCTTGTGGTATTTTGGATAAACTAGTTGTCAAATGATGGGGGGGATGGGTTTGGGGGGAGAGAGTGCTTCATATTTTTACAGCTTCTGAAACAGACTTGCCTACCCTAACCAAAGGTCATAGGCCCCGGACTGAAAATCAGAGTAGCTTATTAACTGTGGTCATGTTGTAGAAAATTGAGGAAGATTATAGACAGTCATAGCACTTTGGCTGCATTACCCGTACAATTTGGGCACACATCCTCCCTTTCTGGAGCAATGATTTTATGTTAAAGAGAGCTCATGTATTTTCATTCAATAGATGCTATGTATGGTGTTAAGGGGAAATAGTTTGTTCTTCCGCTAAATAAGGTGTTTCAAACTGGCTAAAGGGGAACAGCCTTGGGATGTTAGGAGCTTGCACTTTAATACAGGAGCAGCTAGTTTTTCAGGAACTATACAAACATACAAATAAATTTGATCTTTGTTAAGATGAGCAAAAAAAGAGCCATTTATTCATGTCATTGTCAAAACTGTGTGGCTTAATATCAGTGCATTTGGTTTAGATTCCTTTCAGTAACTCAACAGAAATAAAAAGTTTACAGCAATAAAGAAATAGATTTGATTCTTTTAAATAGGGAAATCTGAGATAAGGGTTCAAGCTCAAAGGAATTTCAAAATGTTAAGAATCTAGGTGACCCTGAAATTCTGTGCGCTTTTCAAGAATAGACATGCAGTGATTAGGGATCCTGAGGAACAACAGCAACAACTGATTGTTGGCTGTAGTTTTAATTTTTTCAGATCTAAGAAGGCCTGGTAGGGTGAACAGAAAACCAAAAACAACTCTCTTCATGCCTGGTCCACTGTGGTGCTTAGGGGTGTAGGCAGACACACCCTCCCTTTCTGGGGCAGTGGTTTTATGTAATAAGAGGGAATGAGAGGATTTAAGCTAAGTCCCTCAAGTTATCTAGTTTTTGTTTTTGTTTTTGTTTTGAGACAGAGTCTTGCTCTGTAACCCAGGCTGAAGTGCAGTGGCACAATCTCAGCTCACTGCAACCTCTGCCTCCTGGGTTCAGGCAATTCTCATGCTTTAACATCCCAAGCTGAGATTATAGGTATGTGCCACCATGTCTGGCTAATTTTTTATATTTTTAGTATAGACAGGGTTTCACCATATTGTCCAGGCTGGTCTTGAACTTCTGGCTTCAAGCAATCCACTTGCCTCAGCCTCCCAGAGTGCTGGGATTACAGACATGAGCCACTGCACCCAGCCTCAAGTTACCTAGCTTTTTATTTTTAAACTCCTCATCATGGTTTTAGTCATTCAGAGCTCTTGGGAAGAGTTCTGAACCCAAATTAAAATTTACACACTAGTTAAGATAAAGACCAAGACACCAAACTGAAAGTAGCTTAATAGAATTGTAACCCCAGCCAACCCAGAAGGACCCAGTCTACAACTATGCCTGATCCTCCTCACCATAGGCCGCGAAGGATTGCTGCCATGTGTTGAATTATAAAACCCACATTGCTTTTTGAACCCTATTGTGGATTAAAATCACCAAATAATCAGTCCATGGATACCCAGGCAGTCAAGTGAATACAAAGTAAAGACAAGTATGGTTTAAAGGAGAAATTATGTTCCCGAACTGGTGTCCTTTGGTGGCAGCATCAGTGTTGCTAAGTCAGAGTAAAAGCAGTAGTGACCTTAAGCTTTGGTGAGCAGCATATGCATACGTGGTGGGAGTCCCTTTCATTGATGCTTTTAAAAATGCTTTTGCAGACCTTGTAAGGGATCATCCACACATACAAGGTGTGGAACAGTTCGGGCAGAGGGGATTAGCCCTGCTTTTGAGACTAGAAATCTACAGTCCTGAAGGAACAGTAATTAATTGGTACACCTGTCAGGGCCAGCCCCCAGGTCTCCTGGCTTTTTCCAGGTTTTCTCTCTCACATCATTTTGCTTTTTTAAAAAAAACTTAAACTCAACTCCTCTGTTTAAAACCTTTCAGTGGCGGTCCCCCATTGAGTCTAGAATAAAATCCAAATTTTCTGTCCTGGCCTATAGGTCTCAGCATGTTCTAGATAATTTCCACCTCTCTAGCCTCATCTTTGTACTTTTCTCCTGGCCATCACTTAGTTCCTCAGCATGTGCACAATACTCTTCCCCACTGCCTCCTCATCTTCATGGGGGTTGCCTCCTCCGAGAGGCTCTCTACCAACCTACTTGAGTAGGCTCTTCCCTCTTGTTCCCTGTTACGGCACCTTGTTTCCTTCCCTCGATAGCACTTAGCTTAGCTTATAATTTTAGTTGCTCCTGCTTTCCTGGCTGTCTTCCCTCATAAGGTTGTACGAACCGTGAGGGCCTGGGCCACATCTGTCTTATTTATCCTGAGTCCACCAGGCCTAGCAAGGCAATGTTTTTCATGGTCAGGGGCTACTACAGCTCCCTAGGGGACTTGTTGCACATTCAGAAGTAGAATATCCACATGTCAGGATGGATGCTGCTTGTCATTTCACCAAGAAAGAGGTCAACAACTTTTCCTGCCTTGGTGTTTCACCACTGTCTGTTCATTTCCTATAAGTGGATCTTTGAAGATTCATTCACGTTGATGATAAACTTTCACCATTACTGAAGCATGAAAGAAGTTGCATGTCCATTTCTCTTCATGAGTGAAGTAATCAAAATGTTCTGAGTTTCTTTTCTTAAATGAATCAGGCCTGTCTTACCTTTGTTGTAAGCTTCATGAATTTCATCCCTTCTCATATTAATCACCCTCATGCTGTGATTGCATTTCATAGACGGTCCCTTAAAAGATCTCAGAGTATTAGAATGTTCAGCTTTCCCTTGACCACTACATTAAGTGAGAAAGAAGCCTCTTTGTGGTTATTCATCTCCTTTCACTCTTGGATACACAAGAAAAATTTCCTTTCTCTTTTCTTGTGTTGGGTGTGGATGTAAACTCTCACTAGAAGACTTGCCTTGGGAGCCCCAGAGCAGGATTGGCCTTTTACAGCTTAACTAATAGGGTTCTCCTGGAAATAGAAGCTATCATATTAATATTCCATTTGAAATAAATTAGCACAGATTGAGCTCATTTAAAAAGCAAAAGGAAAAGATCAGGATGTCCTGATCTCTCAGATCACTACTGCAATTAAGTGCCTGATCAATTTTTTTAAACTCTTCCCAGATTATCCAGGGAAATACTCTGAAGAGGAGAGCAAGAGCTCAACATCGGGCATCGCAGGAGACATCGGGGATGAGCTACAGGAGGCTCGAGCTCCCACCATTGCTCAGCTGCTGCAGGAGAAAACCCTCTATTCCTTCTCTGAGTGGCCAAAGGTACCCCAGAGCTTGCATTTCCCACCCCCACAAACCATTCTCAGCTTTGAATTGCCTTTTTTAAACCTTTTAGAATCGTTCTGAACAACACTCAGAGAAATGTTTAATACTTTTAAAAAGTACTAGTTATGTAACATTTGAACATTAGATACATGCCCTTAACTAATTCGACTGTAAGATGGTCTCAAATTGTCCTAATATTTATAGTATCATGGCTTTAATTTGTATTGTCTAGACTATGATTTTTATTTTAAGGCTTATAAAGTGAGTAGATTTAAGTGTGCTCTTTTCTTATCAGCTCCTTTTGGTGAAAAACTTGACCCTTGATCTCAAGGGATTTTGTGAATTTAGGCAACTCGATGCTTACTCGTCAGAGCTTTATCCTTTTTTCTAGGACCGTGTGATAATTAACCGCCTAGATAATATCTGCCAAGTGGTGTTAAAGGGGAAGTGGCCCTCAGGCCAGCAGTATGAGCCCTCAGGCACACTGCCTACTCCAGTACGAACCAGCAGTGCTGGTTCTCGAACCAGCCTCTCAGAGCCAGAAGTAGCAGAACACAGCTTCAGCAACGGCGCAGCACTGGCAGCCCAGATCCAGAAGGTGAGCCTGCAAGAATGGAGTGACCACAAAACAAAGAATGATGGGCATGTTCCACGTCTCAGTTGAGTTCATTCATTCAGCAGATATTTACTCAGTGGATAGGGTTTTTGTTTTGTTTTGTTTTGTTTTGTTTGCCAAGCCTTTAATGTTGATTGGGGAATTTATCCTTTATCCTGTATATAGTGGAGAGCTAGTAAAAGTCTTGGAGCAGGAAAAGGCATGATGAAAGCAGGGGTTTGCAGCTCACCTGGAGTGGTGTACAGCTTAGCTAGGGGCCAAGCAGGAAACTGATGAAGAGAGGTTCTAGACTCCAGTTGGTTCTGAGTGGATACAAAGATAGGGGGGAATTGACAAACATGACTCCATGACTAATAAATATATAAGGAAAGGGAAGCATGAATGGAACAGTGTGATGGACCCTTGGAGAACTGAGCTAACAATGGAAGCTGATAGAAATTAGGGAAATCAAGGCAGGAGTTAGTGTTTTGGTGGGGTTGATGAGTTTTGAGATACATCATTAACATGCTGGTTTTCATGCTCAACTGCACATTGGAATCAGCTGGGGACCTTGACAAGCTAATGATTCGATTTAACTGTTCTGGAGCGTGTCCTAGGTACTGCGTTGTTTTAAACTCCCAGGTGATTGTGATGCACAGCTGAGGTTGAGCATTCCTGCGTTATCTTGCAACAGCAAGTGTAGTTCATGGACTAGCAGCTTTAGCAGCACTTGGAAACCTGTTAAAAAAGCAGACTCTCAGGCTCTACCTCAGACCCACTGAAGTAGAATCTGCATTTTAACAAGCTGCTCAGGTTTGAGGAGGCCTGAGTTGGAACTCTTAAGAAGATGATTGGAAATAATATAAGGCCTAGGGAAATCAGGTCTGGAGAAAGAGTTGGCGTTAAGCCACTTGTGTGGCATTCAAACCTCTCTTGTTTGTGTGTTCACAGGAGAGCTTCTTAGCTCCAGTTTTCACAAAGGATGAACAAAAGCACAGGCGTCCCTACGAGTTTGAAGTGGAAAGGGATGCAAAAGCTCGGGGCCTGGAGCAGTTCTCTGCCACCCACGGGCACACCCCTATCATCCTCAATGGCTGGCATGGGGAGTCAGCTATAGACCTTTCCTGCTCATCAGAGGGGTCCCCAGGAGGCACATCCCCTTTCTCAGTGAGCTCCAGCACCCCTAAGATTGGAGCTATCAGCTCACTTCAGGGGGCCCTTGGCATGGACTTGTCTGGGATTCTGCAAGCTGGTCTGATCCATCCCGTGACCGGACAGATTGTCAATGGAAGCCTCAGAAGAGATGATGCGGCCATGAGGAGGCGGAGAGGGAGGCGGAAACATGTTGAAGGAGGGATGGACCTCATCTTTTTGAAGGAGCAAACACTTCAGGCAGGAATCTTGGTGGGTATCGAGGTCATTAGATTAAAAACATTCACCTTTCCACACTGAGAAACACACCCTTCTTCGTCAGACACAAAACATTTTGTGGATCTTTTATCTCTATTTCAGTTGTCCTGCTTTATTTTCCCTCATTATAAGAAGCCCTCCATCCTCTGTAGAATTAGGTAGTTACTAAGTCGTTAATGGCATTTAATCTGCCTACAGTCTGGAGAAATGAGTCAGGAGGTCTTGCCATTTCAGATAGGAACAGCCCCTCTCCTCCAGGGTTTCAGAAGAGCCACAGTTGATAGCACAGCAGAGCAAGATGGCAGGATTGAGTGTGCAGTGGCTTTTCTCCAGGGTAGTGAGGCTCTCCTAAGACTGGGGTATGGGAGAATGAACAGGAGTAAGGGCTATCTGATTGTGAGCCTGGCTCTGCTGCTTGACTTGGGCTACAACTGAGCCTCACTTTGCTCCTCCTTCAAGTGGGGCAAAGCGTCTACCTCAGAGGTTTGAAGATTGGCAGAGATCATCCTAAGACAGTTTGTTCCAAAGTCAAAGGAAATAATTTACAAACAACAGAAAAGGTCAGAAACCGTGTACCTGGCCAAGAGAGACCCCTTTTATGCTTTGTTTAATGCTTCATGTTGTATTTTGCATTTTCCCATTTACTGGATTTTGAGCTCCAAAACAGAAATCACATTTTATGTTTTCTTATTTTATTTTATTTTTTTATTTTTTATTTTTTTTTTTTTGAGACGGAGTTTCACTCATGTTACCCAGGCTGGAGTGCAATGGCGCGATCTCGGCTCACCGCAACCTCCGCCTCCTGGGTTCAGGCAATCCTCCTGCCTCAGCCTCCTGAGTAGCTGGGATTACAGGCACGCACCACCATGCCCAGCTAATTTTTTTTTGTATTTTTGGTAGAGACGGGGTTTCACCATGTTGACCAGGATGGTCTCGATCTCTTGACCTCGTGATCCACCAGCCTCGGCCTCCCAAAGTGCTGGGATTACAGGCGTGAGCCACCGCGCCCGGCCGTTTTCTTATTTTAAAAGGAATAATAGCTAGTACTGATTGAGTGCCTACTGTTTACTGTGTTCAAGGCTTTACATGATTATCTTGTTTGATCCTCACAACCATTCTGAAGATGGACTTCGTTATTCCCATTTTATAGATGAGGAAAATAAGGCCTTAAAGCATTAAATAATTTCCCCAAGATTATCCAGCTACTAAGTGACAAACCAGGAAACCAAACCAAAGACCTTGTTATCTAGGGGCTGAGAACTTTACTACCAAGCCGTATGGCTTGGGATATGTCTTCCTCTTAAACTTTCAAAGTAACTTGGGAAGCTGAAGTGACACGTTCTTTCCCTGCTCAATCCTGCAAGCTTTTAAGAAGTTTATCTTTTTTAGATGTGCAACACCATGGTTTCTCTGTAACGATCATAGAATTCCAATGGAATAATCGATAAAAATTTTCCCCCTTGTCCTCAAGAGTATTTTTAAAATTTGTTAATGCAAACATTTACTTAGCACTGACATTGTTATAAACCCTATTATAGGCATTGGTAAAACAGAAGTAACACAGCCATTCAAACTATAGAGGGTGAGTAGGTGAGTAAATTGTGGTGTGGCATTTTCTTTACATGAGAGAGCTAGGAGCAAAGTGCTTTGGGGACAGGAGCTGGAGCAGCGAGTGCTGCCTGGCACAGTGGGCAATGGTGACAGAGGAGGAAAATTGAATCCAGCAGTCAGGGTGGAATTAAAGTGTACCAAGTTGACAGGAGCGGGAGAGGAGTGTTCCAGTGAAGGGAACACCAAATCACTTGCAAGAATTTATGCGTGGGTCAGTGGTGTGTGTAGGGTTCTAGTTCAGGCACCCCAGCTGAGTAATATCAGGGTGAAAATAGATGGAATGATTCAAATAACACCTTGTGTGTTTTCTTTTTTTAGAAACAAATTTTCATTCTGTCGTGATTAACTATACATACCCGTTTTTCCTTCATCCAGGAAGTCCATGAAGACCCAGGGCAGGCCACCCTGAACACCACACATCCTGAGGGGCCAGGGCCTGCCACCTTGGCCCCTGAGCCAGCCACAGCAGCCAGCAGCCAAGCCGAGAAAGCCATTCCCAATAAGAGTCTGCTTGATTGGCTGAGGCAGCAGGCTGACTACTCCTTAGAAGTTCCTGGCTTTGGGGCAGTAAGTGTTTATTGGTGCTGCCTGAGATCACTGTTTACTTCCTGCTGACTTGTTGCTGTTTTCGATGAAAGCATCCTGAGGGAAACCAGGAAGTTGGGAGCTATTTGGGAGAAATCTATCAGCTGACAACATCATGTTAAAGGACTTCTGTTTTTAAGTTTAAATTTTGATTAAATTCCTCAGTCATAGAAACGATAGCCCATGTTAAAATACTATGCTAGAAACTAGACATGCAAAATCCTAGGAGGGCAGAACTTGTCTGCTGTCCCCACAAAAACTGCCACACAGTATCATAAGTTCAGAGAGAAATCTTTAGGTTGCATGAATGCTGCCACCTGATGAAAATGTTCCTTTGTGTTCTTTTCAAGTTAATACATTACTATTTGTGGCGGTTGGGGGACTGTCTATTCTTAGTTTTAAGGTTATTCTGCTTTGGGACATTCCCTTCAAGCTGTCTTACTGCCTTTGTCCTAAGTCCTTCAGACTAGACATTTTTAGGAGAGGACTCTTGAGTACTGTTCCTTTTTTTTGTTTTTCTCTTCTCACTTGCTCATCTACCTGACCACCATCATTGTCCCGTGTACACCTAACTTATAAGATCTTATATGTAGGTAGAGAGCGCACAGGAAAAGGAGAACACATGCATAGATGCACACCCTCCAGAGACAGACGAAACCAGCCAAGCAAGCAGCAGTGGAGAGAGAATCCCAGGAAATGATCAAGAGGAAAAGGCCAGGGATTAACAGGGCCCTGGCAGCCTGGTGAATCAGCTTAGGTGTTCTAGTCTGGAGGGCCGGGGGCTTGTTTTCCAGCTTACTGCAGGAACGCTGCTGCTTCGGGAGAGAAAGCCTAGGTGAAGTCAGGTGGCTGTTTCCTTTAGCTTAACCTGACCAGCTCCTGTGCACAGAGCTATTGATGAGAACAATAGCAAAACCAGTTGAAAAGTGTCAGCCTCAGGCCGGGCACGGTGGCTCACGCCTATAATCCCAGCACTTTGGGAGGCCGAGGCGGGTGGATCACGAGGTCAAGAGATCGAGACCATCCTGGTCAACATGGTGAAACCCCGTCTCTACTAAAAATACAAAACATTAGCTGGGCATGATGGCACGTGCCTGTAATCCCAGCTACTCAGGAGGCTGAGGCAGGAGAATTGCCTGAACCCAGGAGGCGGAGGTTGCGGTGAGCCGAGATCGCGCCATTGCACTCCAGCCTGGGTAACAAGAGCAAAACTCTGTCTCAAAAAAAAAAAAAAGAAAGAAAAGAAAAGTGTCAGCCTCATCAGAAGAATCTGGGATAGCATGTTTTGTAATATTGGTCTCCGTTTTCATCCTAGAATTTTTCAGACAAACCAAAGCAGAGGAGGCCACGCTGTAAAGAACCTGGAAAATTAGATGTCAGCTCTCTGAGTGGGGAAGAAAGGGTTCCTGCTGTCCCCAAGGAGCCAGGACTGAGGGTAAGGAAGAGGGCCACGTGAGTTTGGGGCCAGGAGGAGCATCCCGGTTGAGCCATGCCTTATACACTTGAGAGAAAGCCCCAGCTGGGAAGGGGTTCGCTGGGAGACACTCTTTCAGGAGGACTAGAAGCCAGCACAGGAAGTTGATTAGCAGTGAGAAATGGTGCTGTGGCATTTTTGAGCACTGTGTGACTCCCAGTAGTCATTTGTTTTCAACCTTTACCTCCAGGATTGTTTGTTAAACCATTGCTAAAGCTTGGGTTTGTGTTTTGTTTCTCCTATTTGTAGAGTTACAAGGGGAAAGAAACTTTAACCTCTGTCAGTGAACAAAATTCATTATTGGAAATTTTCATTTCCTAATTTTTTTCTGGCCACCATTGAAGACATTTCTTCCTAGTCCAGCCTCACTGGCAATGAAAAACGGCTGACTCCAAGCACGACCCTTTTCCTATTATAGCATCATGAGACTGCAAGGAACTTCAAAGACTTCTGCAGAATACTTATGAATCCGAGTTAATTATAGTTTACAGATCAGTACAAATTTGGACCAGAAAAGTCATAACCTCTAGGGGGCGGTAACAACATTTCAACTTGAAAATGTGTTGAGCTTGGGCAAATTATACCTAAATGTGCTTTTAACTTCCTAAAAGCGCTGTCCGTCTGAATAGGGAGCTTCTGAAGATCCTCGTGGGGACATTTGCCTTTCCCAGGTTGTTCCATAAACTCAAGCTTTCCTGAATGCCTTCTCTTAAGTACTCTGCCAGCTACATCTTTCCTTGAGTAGGAATTCCCTTCTCGGTGGGATTGCTTGAATGTGATTTCTTTTTATAGCTCCAAAAGACTGCCCACCCTAGTCATTTCCTCCTTGTGAAGAAAGAGGTTCGAATTTAATGTTCTCAGGGAATGTGTTCCAGAGTTTGTCACCTGGATGACTGCTGGTCTAGCAGCTCCATAGTGGCTGTTGCTTATCTCCATCTGCTACCACGGCCCTTTTGGGGGAGACCTGGACCCCAGACAGTTTGTCACATTGGGCAAGCTGCCCTTTTTTCCCCTCTTGCTTTAGTCTCAGAAAATGTCCCTTCTACCCATTTCTTAGGATTCTCCCGCACTTTCTTCCACCTGTTGAGCAGTACAAGCTAGTTCACCTTTGTTTGTGTCCCATCTGTCCGTCCTCGCCCCTTCGCGCTGCCTCTCCTTTTGTCCCAGCACACTGTGTCTTGGATACGCCGTCAAGGGAAGACCTCGATTCTTGTTTTGTTATAGTCTCTGAGCTCTTGCTTTAGAAATGTGTCAGGAAAAGCCACGTAGTTCCCTCTTGGCTTTCTTGTTTGTTTCTCCATGTCTAACAGTTTCCCTCATGTTCCCTGGAAATTAGTGCTCATCCCTCCCTACAGATGCTGACCCTCTGCCAGAAAACCCATTTCTAAGCTGTTCTTGCAAGCCAGCCTCTTCCCAGAGATGTTAGCCTCCTTTGTTAAATAAACACACTGCCTGCCTCAGAGGCCCTTTTCCTGCAGTAAGGCAAGAACAAGACCCAGGCGGCTCAGCATTCCCAGCAGGGGCACCCGTGTACCTCCTGCAGCTCCTCTTGGGACACAGGCCTTCTAGGGCACACTGTGCTCTTTTTCTTTGCCATAGAAACTTAGTCCATTCAGGCTACCATAACAGAATACCAGACTGGGGAGCTGATAAGCAACAGAAATTTATTTCTCACAGTTCTGGAGACCCAGATATCCAAGGTCAAGGCACTGGCAGATAGGGTATCTAGTGAGACCCCATGCCACATCATCTAGACAGGTGTCTTCTCACTGTGTCCTTGAATGGAGGAAGGGACGAGCCAGCTCTCATAAGATCACAAATCCCATTCATAGGGCTTGGCCCTGTGACCTAATCACTGCCCTAAATCCCCCATTGTCCTGTTATTATCACCTTGGGGCACAGCATTTCAACATAGTAATTTGAGGGGACACAAACATCTACAGCAGAAACCCTACCCTTCCTTTTAGAAATAGATTTAAATCTCACGAGGAACTTCTCCTCCCTTCCTTTGAGCTCACTTCGAGCCCTTCTGCATATGTGCTGTGGTTTGGATGGGTGGTGTCCACAGAATTAGCATAGCACAGGCTGCATGGTTGTGGGATTGAATTTTTAATGCCCAGTACATAGCGGTTGCTCATCAAATATATGTGAACACACACATATACTTAATATAGTTTATATATGTAAGTTATATATGTATGTGTTTTACGTATATATGTATAGTTTTGTTGTTTTGCTGAGCCATTTGACAGTAAATTACAGATGTGACATATCACCCCTAAATACTTCAGCATGCATCTCATAAAAAAACATTTTCCTGCATAATTATTGCCATTACATGTGCATATTAATATCTGTTACCTAGTCTCTATTCAGATTCCACCAGTTATCCCAAAAATGTCTTTTAGAGCTGGTTTTTGCTATGTTTTGGTTTGGTTTTAGGATTTTTAAATGAAGAGCCACACATTGCATTTCATTGTTCAGTCTCTTTTCACCCAGCATGTGTTTGTTGGATGAATGTACTAACCTTCTAAAGAGAAATGAAGCTCTGGTCACCACCTTCTCTTAACTCCACCCAAGATTTAAGTTTGAGTTGGAAAAATACTACCTACCACACATTGATGAGGATGTGCTTCTTGGGCTGGAATGCCTGTGCATTCATATAGAAAGCGGATTTATCTCCAGTGTGCTTGAACATAAGGAAGCTCCTTGTCCTTGTTCTCTTTGCCCCCTCCGCAGGCCTCCCCTGGAAGGGGAAGCAGGTTTGCTCACAGGGTATAATTACCAGGAGGGAGAGCTGCCAAAGCCCGCCTGGCCACTGTGTGTGGTCGCCACACTGCTGGGAGGGGCACCTGACTGGGGTGGGCAGCAGCTGGTAGCTGGGGTGACTCCTCCACAGGACGTGGTTAAAGCTGACTTCCTTGGCCAGCATTCCTCTTGCTCTGCTGCAAATGAAGAGCTGTTCTCTGTACCCTTGGGGCCTTTCTGCTTCTCTTGTCCACATCTAGAGGGGAAGGAAGATCAGCTTGTGCCTTCTAAGCAAGCTCTCATTTCTGAAAGGACGCACCATTCTCTCTACATCTGTGGTTCTCAGCAAGGGCAGGGAAAGGATGCTTTTGACATCCCAGAGCCTGTGAGTGCTGCTTGCACTTACTGGGCCAGGTCCAACGTGGCCAAAGATCCTTTGGGGCATAGGCTGGTCCTTGATTCTCAAAGTGTGTTAAAGAAGATCTAATTTATAGCAGGTTGCTTGAAAATAAGGAGCCACCATTCATCAAATGCTGGGCTTATTTTCTTCCTAACAGAAAGACTTCTGAGATAGAACATGCCGCCTTTGCTGGAGAGTTATGAGGGCACATTTATGTATGTAAAGGAAGGACACTCTCACCACCTTTCTCTGCCTCCCGGTTGTGGGTAGGCTGTGGGAAGGGGGCTCAGAAAGCCCTGTGGTCAGGTTGTTGTTTCCCAGGCTAAAGTGCCCTGGGCTGTGGTGCCATGCCAGCAAGGGCCTGAGACTGTGCTGTGTGGACAGAGTGGCTGGCCCAGAATGAGGTGATTTGCATTGATGAGCTCAAGACAAACTGGTGAGAAATTATCCTTTTAGCCTGGCCCCGATCCAACAAGTCCTACTGTCTCTCTTTAGAAACAGGAACCAGCCAGGAATTCTTCCCCAGTGATCCTCCCTAGAGCCAGAGTGGGTAGTTGCCAGCCTAGCAAATTGCAAGTGGCAGGTCATGCTGGGAAGAAGAGAGGGTGTGGTGTGCTGTGGAAAGAGTCCTGGGCTGGGAAGTGGGCCTGCGTTCTTACCTGCTCTGTCCCTGACCACCTGTACCCTGCCCCTCCCTGTTTGTGAAAACAAAGGGGACTAAATCTGACAGTTTCTTCTAGCTCTGCGATACAAACCAAGGCTTTTGAGGAGAATTTTCTTCTTAAAGTTGCCAAAGTAAAGTTTTTTTGTCTATGATGAACAGGTTTTTTTTTTTAATATTCTTGGGACACTGAAGGACAGATGTAGGACTTCAAAAAGTAACTATTTCTGGGGACTCCGAAACATTCAAATATGTACGTTTTCACATATCTGTGAATCCGTAAATTCTCTGTAAAGCAGGCGTGACGATAGTACTGACTCCACGGGGCTCACTCACTGATTTGTTGAGTTGCCGCAGGAGCCCTTCGTACAGCACCTGACACGTGATCAGTGCTTCCTTCGTGGGCTCCCATTCTTCTGCCACTCATCCTGTTACCACCACCACCTTCCCTGCTGCCTCTGGCAGCCATTCCCCTCGCTGCTCATTTGGGGCCCACTACGCACGTGTGTCCTTACAGCCCATATGAACTGGAAACCAGTGCCACTAACTAACCTTACAGCTGCCCCGTAAATAAAAATCTAGTGGGTCTTCTACAGATTTGCTTCTGTCATAGTTCTGGGAGAAGAGAGGCAGTGGAAAAAATGGGAAATGCCACAGCTGCTGAATTAAAGTAAGTAGGTGTCCTTCGGAAGACTGTAAATAGATTTCTTAACTGTCCTCAGGCCGGGTGGCCAGTCTCAGCCCATAGTTATCCTCAGCTTCTCTGACTTCTTTCTCTACATTCTGTGGTGTTTTTCTGGCCGTTCTGGTATCTCTTTGTGAGACCTGCACCTCCTTTCTTGCCCCAGGAGTGTGCTCCATGGAGGGGTACAGCCTGGTCCCTGCTTCTGATTCTCACAGGCAAGGAAGCTGTGGGCTGGTGGAGCCTCAGCTGCTGCTTGTCACATCCCCACCCCCTACTCCGCAGACTCTAGTGGAAGGGAAGGTATTCCAAAAGAGAATCCTGAAAAGGCTGCAGGTGCAGCTGGGGGAGTCGCCTCAGCTGCCCAGAGGCCTCACCCCTCACCACTGAGCTCTCCCCGGTCATGCTGCTCCTTAGGCTCCGAAATCCGGCCTTGATGGTGACCATTGTCCTCCATGGAATCCAGTGTGACAAGATCCATCGAGGCCACTCTGAACATTTTGCTTCACCACTGCTGTAATCAAAGGGAAGGGGGTGAAACAGCACTGACTTTATAGCAGGAACCGTAAGAAGGAGAAGCCCAGACAGTCAGGGAGGGCGCCAGCAGGGGAAGGGCTTTGTCCTCACACCGTACGCCTCATCTGTATGAGGAAACACAGACTGCTCAACTGCACAAGTGCGGTTCACCTATTTTAATACCATGGGCATGTACTACTTGATAAATTAAGATAGCAGTGAGGTGTGGAGGGCAATCGGGAGAAAGGCGTGCAGTTCTCCAGGGGCACAGGGACTTGCAGCAGTAAGCCCTGAAAGAAATTGCTCCCTGTCTCTGGGGAAGAAATTCTCTCTAGGGATTATAAATTCAGAGAGATCCATCGTAATTGCAGCGGTTTGTTTACGCTCCAGGGAGCAGGTTCCTGGCTGCATTTTCACTGCCCTGCAGAGCTCCTGAGCTCCACTCTCAGGAAGGAGGGTGTGGGGCGCAGTCTGCACCTTCCTCTCCTCGTGTCGCCTCCTGCTCACTAATGCTGCTGGAGCGATCTGCCCTCCCGTGATTCTGTGCAGCTCAGCCATCCTGATGGGCAGTGGGAATGTCCAGTACAGGTGCCAGATCACCCATGTTGAGGCCTCGGCCCTGTCACGGTGCGGTCCACGTGCAGCAGAAGTGCTTTACTGCAGAGCTCTCTGCTAATTAAGAAAATCGGAGAGTAAACCTCCAAATAGAGAAAAAAAAGATGGCTCCCCTTAGGGAGAACCACCACTTATTTTGGTGGCAATTTCCCCAACAATGTTCAAGAAGTCCTTCATTTATTCAGCAAACATGTATGTATCCCATTATATTCAGAGAGGAGTGGGGCGTGCACACCCACAATAAATAATGTACCATTAGCAAGCACTGCTTCCTGTGGATCAGGTAATGTGTTAAACAGGTCACTTTCAGCACCCTAAAGATAGGAACCATTGCCCTTTTTCACTTAAACTCAGAAGCTAACTGACATGTCCTAAGTCCTACAGCAACAAGGTTGCGGTCAGGTTTTAAACTCGGGTCTATCTGACTTCAAAACCCTGCCTTACATATTCTGCTTTGTTGCTTCAGTAAAAACCTGTGTCAAGAGGAAGGCAAGTGTCGGAATCTGGTGAAGGGCGTTCAGCCATGATAGTCTTGCCGAGAACCAGGACACCTTGAGTGCTTTCTCCAGCTCCCCACTCTCTTCTGCCAGCTTCTCACAGGCTGAGTGCCACTTTTGCCAGTCAGCATGTTGGAATTACCACTGGGCAGTGACAGGCGCTCTTGTAGTGCCCATGCCACAAAATGCTCTCAGCTGCTGAGGGAGAAGCCTGTCAGCTGCAGTCAGTCCTGATAGCTGCACATGTAGGCAGGAGGTGCTCCTTTACTGGGAACCCTTCGTGCAGCTAGAGACAGGCCAGCCCGGGACAGAGCCCTGGTCGTCACCCTCAGCTGACTACCTGCCATCCTGTCGCCTTCAGCATTTTGTGTTTCTGTTTTTCCAGGGGTTTCTTCCAGAAAACAAGTTCAATCACACCCTGGCTGACCCTGTTCTTCGAGATACGGGCCCCCGCAGGAGAGGGAGGCGGCCTCGGAGTGAACTCCTGAAGGCTCCTTCCATTGTGGCAGACTCTCCCTCTGGAATGGGGCCACTGTTCATGAATGGACTGATTGCTGGGATGGACCTGGTAGGACTTCAGAACATGAGAAATATGCCAGGCATCCCCCTCACTGGGCTGGTGGGGTTTCCAGCTGGCTTTGCCACAATGCCAACGGGTGAAGAGGTCAAAAGTACCCTGAGCATGCTGCCCATGATGCTGCCGGGCATGGCTGCTGTGCCCCAGATGTTCGGCGTTGGGGGACTCCTCAATGCACCCATGGCAACCACCTGCCCTTCCACCGCTCCAGCGTCTCTGTCAAGCACAACGAAAAGTGGTACGGCGGTGACTGAAAAGACTGCGGAAGACAAGCCAAGTAGCCATGATGTAAAAACAGACTCTTTAGCTGAAGACAAGCCTGGTCCAGGCCCATTTTCTGATCAGTCTGAACCTGCAATAACTACCAGTAGTCCTGTGGCTTTTAACCCATTTCTCATCCCAGGAGTGTCTCCTGGACTCATTTACCCATCCATGTTCCTCTCCCCTGGTATGGGCATGGCTCTGCCAGCCATGCAGCAGGCCAGACACTCAGAAATAATAGGTCTGGAGAGCCAGAAGAGGAAGAAGAAGAAGACAAAGGGGGACAACCCCAACGCCCACCCAGAGCCTGCTCCCAGCTGTGAAAGGGAGCCCAGCAGTGATCAGAACTGTACCGAACCCAGCGCCCCTTTGCCCACAGAGAGAGAACATGTGGCACAGGCTGGGGAAGGGGCACTCAAAGACTCCAACAACGACACCAATTAGAACTTTTTTCATTTCGGAAATTGTGACTTGTAAGTTTCTTATCCCATAAAGGTTTGTTACTTCCCTCACTTCACCTCCATAAGAACCTGTGTTTCCATAAGTAAAATTACCTACCTGATTTCCTGTCTGAGAACTACGGTAACAGATGTTAATAGTCGCAGGGTCTCACCACTTTATTAGATAAGTGTCGTCTACCTAGTCTAGGAGGCACAGAATTCTCATTCTGTTATCCAGTTCATTCCAGCAGTCGTAGTTGATACAGTACTTGGTGACACGCCCTACCCCCTTCTCTTCCAAGTTTCCCACTTACTTGAGGAGGAAAAATGGCATAAGAAAGCTGTCTAGGGATTTACCATTGAAGGGCCGAAGAGCAGACTAGAGGAGCTCTTTTCCATGAGCTGGGTTGCACAGAAAGAATGTCACAGGGAACCAAAAAGCACAGAAAAAGGAAGTGCTGGTGCATATTTTTGAGTTAAAATCTTTCCCTATTTTATGATTACTAAGTGAGTAGTATAGACAGAAGCATATAACTAATGATTGAAAATACATATATTCATTTCTTTATAAAAATCAAAAATCTCACCAGTAGAAATATAATTTCCCCCTTCATGGTTTTTCAGAACCTGCAGCAAGAAGAAATACTGATTAGGCATTATTTTCTATACATCCCTCTCCCCAGTTAAAAGATGCCTCTTGCTTCAAGAAAGCTTTACCCACCACGAGTTATTGCTGGCGACGGGGGTGGGGGCAAGGACCCGCGCTCTGTAGAGCTACATGCTGCTTCACAAGCACACGGCTAGCACTCTGCTCTCACCTGGTTCGCTTACAGATTTCTCTAGCCATTAATTTGTCTTTCTGTGTTGAAAGAGCACCAGGACCGAATGGATTTTCACTTCAGGCTTTCCTTCACCCAGAATAAGGCTCTTTATGGAGCCCGAGAGAAGACAGTGGCCCAGCAACTTTGCCACTTGCTAGTAGGTCCTCTGATCAAGAGTATCTGAGGCTGTCAAGTGGGTACCACCCTTTATAATACAGCTGTGAAAAGTTACTTCTCCACTAATTTCTCCATTCTGTTTATATCTTACAGTTAGACCCAAATTCCAAATTATCCGTTAATCAAAACTGCATTGCACGTCAACATTATTTTCTCTTCTTCCTCAGTTTCTCCACATTTAGGAACTGAGAAAGAACCTGCCTAAGCAGCACTTCCCCATTTCCTTTCACCTTCATGTTAACGTCCCTTCTGATGGTCTCACTCTTCACAGGTAGTTCACACTCTGACACTTGAAGTAAGCTCATGGTTCAGTACTCTGGGGGCGCAGGGCTGCGCAGGACCCTTGGAAATGTTGCAAGTGTTACTAGTACCAGTTTCACTTTTTGTTGTTACAATTTACTGTATTTTTTACTTTTTCTGTTACAGTTTTGCTAATTTATCAGAAGGTCCAAAAGTTTGACATAACTATTTCATTTTGCATTATTTATTTATGATGCTTTTGTCATTGTCTTTTATACACTTGGGATTATAAATTATGTAAATGTTAAAATGAGCATCTCAAAGAAGTCTGTTCAACCGTGACTGAAAAAAATCAGATGTATCTTCAAAAAGCGGAGTCCCAGTTTTATGAATCAGAGATATAAACCAGAAATTCTATAACTGATCATGGAAGAAGAATCCAGTAATTGAGCAAATCCTATTTCATGACATCCTTGTAGCATAGATGGTCTACAATGCTGACCACAGATTTCTTGGAAATGCTGCTCTATTTCACTAACATTTTGTTCAGTTTTGCCTCCAGTGGAAGCAGAAAGGGTTTTTTCAGCTGTTAAATCCTAAAAATCAATATAATTTATTTATGTAAAAAAAATAACTCAATCAATATATTTTTGAACCTTTTAAGTACTAATTTTCTTTTTATCAAGTAGAAAAAAAAAAATGTATTTGCCCTAAATCCTTAAAATACAAATGCTATAAAAATTCCTGTATCTTGAAAGCCTTACTGCAAATGAGTATTATAGACATCCAGCAGAGTCTGGTTTTCTTTGTTGTCGTTGTGTTATTGTTGTTTTGTATGGAAAAGCTGCTTTCCCCAGGTTCCACTTATAACCTCCAGTAGGTCACAGGGTTCAATGTGGATCTGACTTAAAAACCCACCAGCATGCTCAATCCCTTGTTATACCTTATCAAATCTGTATGTTAACTCTCTGGGTGTTTAGGCTTCTATTTGACTGCTGTTGTGACCCTGTTTGCAAAATGAAAATGACACTCTGTGGATTATTTGCTCTGTAAGGCAAAAGTGCTTCTTATGATTATTTTGACGTTTCCAAGAGCAAAAGCCAAATTTAAACTCTCTTCAGCAAACTTGAGCCTTTTCATCTAATTCCATGTCACTCACAGCCATAACTTTCCTTGATCATTCTTCACCCCATGTCTTACATAATAAATTGTGGTCTTGATCCTGGATTTAAAAACAAAAAACAAAAGTTTAAAAGTCACATTTGTATTTGAGGAGCTCAGTGGCACTTGGGTGTCTCTTGCTGCCTGGGGCATTTGTGAGTGCATGGTATCCACACTGCCTTTCTGAGGTGTCTGATATGTGTTGGGCACCCTACTGAGGACTTGTTGAATATTCATCATGCGGATTGACTTGGCCTGTCTCTCGACTGACCAGAACACCTGGTTAAAACATACCCTAGAAGGGAATTGGGGCTGGGCGAGGTGACTCACACCTATAATCCCAGCACTTTGGGAGGCTGAGACAGGCAGATCACTTGAGGTCAGGTGTTTGAGACCAGCCTGGCCAATGTAGTGAAACCCCGTATCTACTAAAAATACAAAAATTAGCCAGGTGTGGTGATGGGCATCTGTAATCCCAGCTACTCAGGAGGCTGAGGCAGGAGAATCGCTTGAACCTGGGAGGCAGAGATTGCAGTGAGCCAAGATTGTGCCACTGCACTCCAACCCAGGCGACAGGGAGACTCCATCTCAAAAAAAAAAAAAAGGAGTTGACAGCACAGCATCCTGGGCATCCTGCTCCAAACTTGGGACCTGAACGCTCTCAGCTGGCACAGTCCCAGTGCCACTTCTTAAGTCCCATACCAGGAGTCCCACCTCAATGACATACCTGGGATTTATGGGGAACTAGACTTCCGTGGGTTAGAATGGGTTCATAAAACACAGGACCACCTGGGTAGCTGAAATTCTCAAGGTTTTTCAGAACTCTGCTCCTGAGCTTTGAGAATATGGTGTCTCAACTCCAAAAGGGGTGAGTCAGAAGTTATCGATGAGGCTGGCAGGAAAGTGCCAAAGCCTCTTTCAAGGGTGAGCAAGAGACTCACCCAGCCTCATCTTGTTGAGTCCCAACTAAGCACCAACAGATGGGTGCATGAATGGCCTAAAGCATGGATGGGCGTTGTTACAGTAAAATCTTAGGTTTTATAGGCCTCTGATCAAGACACAGGGAACCCTCCTAATAATTTAAATGGAATAAGTAGTAAAGGATCTTGGTTTCGTTTTTTATCTAAAACCCTGTCCCAGGAAATACTACCTTGTACAAGGGCAAAATAGGAATAGTTGGTCCAGCACATTGGACTACTGTTGTGTGTGTTTGCCGTTAGTGACCTCATTTGTCCTCACAGCATGTGGGCACTGGGTAGAGGGATGCCGACATTGAATTTGCCCCCTGAAAGTCAGCAGAGAGGCTGCCAAGGCTATCTTGTCAATCATGAATAGCAGAGCTAGGGCTAGTCCCACAGCTGGGGGAGACAGCACCCCAATTTTGGCTTTTGTGATACCAGTCTGGGGCTTCTACCTCAGAAACCAAAACTGAGTAAAGAAATTACACTCAGAAAAATTGGCAGCAGGAAAAACGGAACACTCAAATAAGTGTTACACCCTCTGGAAAACTTGATGCTAGATTCATATACACCAAATTCTTTAAATGGCCTCTTGTAAGAAGTATTGTTCTTTGCCTCTCCTGGAAACCACAGGATTTCTTTCTTAAGTCAGAAGTAGGGTTCCCCCAGCCCAGTGATTTGGATCTTGGCTGCATAGTGGCCAGCATTGTGGCCACTTTCATAATCCAAATTCAGCAAGGTATCTATGGGACAAAGCAGGGAAAAGGGTGAGTTCAATAATGGCTCCTTCTGGGAAGCTGTTTTAGGAGGTCGATTTGGACAGGGAGTCTGAGCATGGCTGTGACAAGTTGGTGCCTCCTAGACAGCCTTGGGGTTTGAGTTCTGGCTCAGCCCAAGTGCTGGCGGACAATGGGAAGAACTAGAATGAGGGTCCCAGGCAGGGAAAGAACAGCCACTTGGAACGCCCTTCCCCAAGTCTGTTTCCTCATCTGTCAAATGGGGATAATGATAATTTGCACTAATGGGGCTATTGATGGGGTTCATTGAAATAATCAGATTATTTACTTATTTATTTTTGAGATGGAATTTCACTCTCGTTGCCCAGGCTGGAGTGCAATAGCGCAATCTCAGCTCACCACAACCTCCACCTCCCAGGTTCAAGCGATTCTCCTGCCTCAGCCTCCCAAGTAGCTGGGATTGCAGATGTGTGCCACCACAGCTGGCTAATTTTTTAGTAGAGACAGAGTCTCTCCATGTTGGTCAGGCTGACCTCAAACTCCTGACCTCAGGTGATCTGCCCACTTCAGCCTCCCAAAGTGCTGGGATTGCAGGCATGAGCCACCACACCCAACCTGATCAATGAGATTCTTAACTCTTTTCCTTCTGTTGAGTCATAGGTCTTTTACTCCTTCTGGATAATCAGCGAGAGGATATACCAGTCTCACTGGAAAAATAGGATAAGGAAGGGGCAAGAAAGACCTTGTTCCAAGTCCCAAGGCAAGTACAGAGTGGATCTGGGATTGGGGTCTGAGCACTGCGGGAAACCAGCTTTCTGGCCTGCCCACAGAAAAGGCTTTTCCGCATGAGCCCATTGTGCTGGGTGGACTAGAAGGACGTGGGGGCCGTTTTGGGACCGGGAATAGGAAGGTTCCTGGGTTTATGGAGCCTCCCTCAGTGTAGGAGTGCCAGATTTAGGAGGGAAAGTTAATATAAACATTTTTTAGAGTAAGTGTATCCCATGCAGTATTTGGTATATGTACTTTTTAAAATTTTCCCTATTTAAATTTATTTAAATATTTTTGGCTGAGTGTGGTGGCCTACCACATAATTCCAGCACTTTGGAAGGCTGGGCAGGGAGGATCACTTGAATCCCAGAGTTTAAGCCTGGGCAACATAGGGGGGCCTCATCTCTCCAAAAAAATGTTTCAACAAGTTAGCCAGGCACGATGGTGTATGTCTGTGGTCCCAGCTACTCAGGAGGCTGAGGTGGGAGGATCGCTTGAGCCCAGGAGGTTGAGGCTGCAGGAAGCTGTGATCACGACACTACACTCCAGCCTAGCCAGCAGCGAGAAACCCTGTCTCTAAAAACAAATGCAACTTCAAACTCCCAGGCTTAAGCGAACCTCCCACCTCAGCCTTTGGAGTAGCTGGGACCACAGGCATGAGCCACCGGTGCCCAGCTAATTTTTTATCTTTTGTAGAGATGGGGTCTTGATATGTTGCCCTAGCAGCTCTCAAACTCCTGGCCCCAAGCAATCCTCCCATCTCAGCCTCCCAAAGCGCTGGGATTACAGGCGTGAGCCACCACCACCCCTGGCCTAAAAAAATTGTTGTTGTTTATCTGGAATTCAGATTTAATCAGACATCTGTATTTTATCTGGTGAACTTACTTAGTAGCAATAATGTGCTATTTACCGGGCACTTCCTATGAATAGGATTTCTTCTACGTATGTTATAGCCAAATTCTCAATCCCCACATGCATACAAGGAAGCCGAGGCCCAGAGAAGCTAAGTAATGCCCAGTCATCCAGCTGAAAAATGTCAGGGCTGGGCTTTGGGGACTCAAAAAGACTGATTCCAGAACTGTAAACTGATCAGGCGTGGAGCCAGGATGGGCATCTTTAGTCTGAGGCTTGGAGCAGGCCATCCCTCTAGAGCGCAGCTTCATAAAATAGCACTAAGCACAAATGATGAGCAAGGGGAGGGAGGCCACTATGGCCCTTGCTGGCCGTTGGGCTGCAGCTACCATCATCCCTGAGGCCAGTGGGGAGGCAGTTAGCCTCAGAGTTTCTTTCCCACCCCTGCTGCGCTGGTGTTGGGAGGCCTCTGAGCTGGGGCTTAGCCTAGGGAATAAGTGTCTGAGCGCTTGGACTCACCAGTCCAGGGCCAAGAAGCCCATGAGAAGCAGTGTCCAACCTTGGAAGGTGGAAAGAGGGATGGCAGGGAGTCGGACAGTGTTTGGTGAGAATGGCCTGGGGAAAAGATGGGGGAGCTGACCGGGAAGGGGAAAAAGGCACATCTCACCCAACCATAGGCTAGCCATGACCTTCCTCCCACCCAGGGCAGCTCAGCCACGAAAGGTGGCCACAACACCGTTTAGTCAATACCTACTCTTCAGGCCACTGTGCAGGCCTTGTGAGAGCTCATTCCAAAATACCTCCAGGAGAAGACCGGGCTCAGGTTGTCACCTGCCTTCAGTGGCACAACCAGTAGGAAAGAACAAGAATTTAGAGATGCGCCTGATTCCAAAATTGAGAGTCGCTTAGGCCTTGGCTTTGCATGTGTAGCCATGGGCCCAACACACTTTCTTCCCAGAGTAGAGTCAGAGCTATGGCCCACAAGCCAAGAACCAGGACTCACATTTATAAATAATTGGACAATCAAAGGGAAGTATTTCATAAACATAAAAATGATCCCAAATCAAAATTCCAGTGGCCATAAAGTTTTATTGAACACAGCTATACTCATTCCTTTGTGAATTGTCTAGAGCTGCTTTTGGGCTACGACAGCAGTGGCCACAGACCACACAGGCTGCAAAGCCTAAAATATTTATCATACTGTCTTGATCCTTTGCAGAAAGTTTGTCAATCCCCATCCTGCAGCATCAATTTTATTCATAGATGCAGTGCAAAACCTCATTTGAAATATTTCATATGGCCGGGCACAGTGGCTAACTCCTGTAATCCCAGCACTTTGGGAGGCAGAGGCAGGTGGATCACCTGAGGTCGTGAGTTTGAGATCAGCCTGGCCAACACGGCAAAACCCCACCTCTACTAAAAATACAAAAATTAGCCAGGTGTGGTGGCACATGCCTATAATCCCAGCTACTTGGGAAGCTGAGACAGGAGAATTGCTTGAACTCAGGAGGCGGAGGTTGCAGTGAGCTGAGAAGGCACCAGCCTGGGCAACAGAGCAAGACTC